GCGGTTCATGTTTCATACGCTATAACTATCTGCAAAACAATAGCCCGAAACTTTGAAACGTTATGCACAAAATATGAATGCCCTCGACGAAATTCAACGCAACGGATCAAGAATTAGACAGAACACGAAGGAGCTTTCAAGACTTGAAACTAGAACGTAATACTTCGTATATGTTTCAGGTAAAACGAAAGAAACAGGGGAAAAACATAAAACTTCGGAACATTATGGACAAAACATGAACACTTCGGACGAAATTGGACAAAAACAGAGAAGATGAAGAATTAATCACAGACCTGAGTGGTGATCATGACGAGAAAGGCAGGTAGAAATGGAAGTGCCCTCTTGTAATAAAGCTTGATGGCGCTGAGAATATGAGTAGCGTAAACAGAGCCAGCACCAGAATTGGCGAAGATGGTGATGAGAACATGTTCCTTGACGTTGAAGGGACCAGGGTTCATGCTGAACTCCCACCTCGTACCTTCAAAGTACTTCCTTGTCGGGAGGATCCGAGCCATGAGATGACCCAGAGGCACGACGGCGATCTGAGCAGAGATCCCGGTTATGCTCAAGGGCATGGTCCTGTACCAGAAGAACTGGTTCACGAAGGAGAGCACAATGCACGCGCCTATACCCAGAACCCACATTCTGAAAGTGAGGACCGGCAATGTCGGATCGTCTGTCTTCGGGACCGTAAGCTCCACCTGTTCCACGACGCATCTGTCTTCGTCATCTCCCTCGATGCCCATGGCGGAGACGACCTCCGTTACGTCAGCCATGGTTGCAGAGAAGTTTTCTTCTTATGGGTTGAAAGGAGAAACGGGAAACTCAGAGGAAGAAAGTATCGTGGTTATGCACGAGGGTTGAGTGAACAATCCCTTATAGAGAGAGATTGTTACAGTATCGGATCCGGATTCTTTGAGATTCTATCTTCGATATATATTGAACATTTCCACAGATCTCGTCTCTATCCTTTAACAGAAATACCTAAAGTCTTAAAATCTTTCACGTGATTTATTCAAGATTTAAATAGATATAGATAATAGATAATAATGTGTATCATAAACTTATAATATTAGGACGAGGATTAAAATTTTCAACAACGAGTCACTAAATGATCTGATGGATAGAGACGAAATGTATAAAATAATTATCAATTATGAGATGATGATGATGATGATGATGATGATGATGATGATGATGATGATGATGATGACGACAAAAGAGAGAAAAAATGCTTGAAGAGCCCCAAAGTGATTATGCGCCAATATGTATATCCACACATTGACATAAAAAAATAGTATTTAAAATTTTTAGATAAGTGGATATAAACAAAAAAATATATAAAAATGAATAAAAACAGAAATATTCCGAAATTAATGATTTTGGATCGACTGATTTGGATAGTCAAATGGATGAGGTTTTGTTTTTTTTATAATTGTTTCGGTTATAACTTATATTATATTATATTAAAATATTTCAGATAAAGCTCGAATATTTTGTTTGGAACGTATATTGATGGGGGGGAAAAGTCAAGCCAAGATCGTTGAATTTAGATAATGGAAAGCGGAGAATTAAGACTTTGTAGTGTTAAGTCATTGGAATCTGTCGTTTCTGTGTTTAATGACACGCAAATTTCCACGAGAAATTAAAAGAGATGGCAACTTGTGATTAGGGTTTCACATTTGGAATTCCGATTACGTTTTGGTCACAATATCTTATATAGTTTGTATTTCTAATTTTCATAAGGTTTATACGTATATTGATTATTTGGTTATTTTTGGATTTTATTCATATTTAGTTCATACCCCAATTTTTTTAAAAAAAATTAATTTTAATTATTTCGAGATCGATGAAGTTAAAATCAAACTCTTTTGTTTGGGTTTCACTTTGTATATCCAGATTCCAATTTCTATTCCGATTAGCACATGGCAGCTGATTTTGCTATAATTTTAGATTTTTTTCCTTATTTCGTTATTTTTATTTTCAAGTAATAAGATATTTGGAAAACGGCATGCGAGTTGGTTTTCGACGAGAGAGAGGTCCAATTCACATCGGATTTTTTTTTTTTTTTTTTGTCAAAGGTTGGTATTTCATTAACTTTCAAAACTCTACATATAGATTTTTCCGTTTATTCAAAAGCGAAAAAAGCCAAAATAACCAAAAAAGGTTTTGCGCCCTACATCTTCTCGATCTAAATGCTATCGGACCGAAGAAAAAGAGGCCAAAATTAGTAGAGATATCAAGAATCAAAATCCAAACCAACTTCATAGTTACCCAAACCATCGTTGTAGTAGTTCCGACGCAAGATCCGGCTTGGTATCCCGGAAAGTGGCTCCTATACGACGAAGTGTCTTGTCGTAGACTTGAAATATAGTATCCACATCCGAGTAAATGGAAGAGTTGATTCGTATATTGCGTTCCGCCCAAATGGTATAGATCACAGATTGCCAAGCAAGAAGCGCAATATGTTTATTGAGATTTTGAATATGTTTTTTTTTATAACCAGGATGGTTCCCCGGACCGTCCGGGACCAACCTTTGTATATGGACCATTTTGGTGCAGAAATTACATACCTCCCCGTCAGTGGAATCGAACCCAGGACCTTGAGGATGACTTTGTCATCTCTCAACTTTTTTTTAGATTTGAGGTTTTAGATTCCGATAAAACTATAACTATTTTATTTCTCTATTAAATTTGGGTTAAATCCAAATATATTAAAACAAATACAAGGGGAAAAAGACAGCGTTTCGGAGTTGAAATAAATCTAAACAAAATTTATAGACAATTTGTCGTTTGGTTGCATGATAAGAAAGAAGAAGAAGAAGATAGTTACAGCCACTAGTGTTTTTCAAGTGTTCAAAGTCCACTTTGAAGAAGTGGTAATCCCCACCACGTATGCATACGGATGTAACGGTCAACGGTCTGGTGACATAATTTTCTAAATCACCCCCTCTAAAATTCCTAATTAATATAAATCAATGTCATATATATGTATATATATGTATATATATGTATATACTGATCATATATATTGAATCATACTCGAAGATATCTAGGCTTACGTAATCGACAGTGCATGTGCATGAGGATCACAGGAGGAAGTGACGCTGGCTATGCTCTTCGTGGAATTTAATGTATTAGCTGGAAAACCATTGGATGTGTGACTTTAATGTGAATAATTTAAACCCGCATTCGTCACTCTTACGAGTTCCACCACAGTTTCTTCTATTTTTTATTTTCAAATATAAAAGAATAATATTTGATCCTAACGGTTGATTGTATTAATTTAATATTTCATGAGATTCATTTACATATATATTACGACACTTGTAAATGACATGTGACAAATTGTCTAAACGTTGAGTTTTGTTGAAAATAATATATTCGGTTTAGATGGGTGATAAGAAATGTTTCAGAGAGCACGATAATATATAAGTTTTTTTTTATAACCGGAGAGTTCATCTGGATCTTTGGCCCGACCTACATCTCCTTAGATCCGGGAGCAGCCGTTGTCCCAAATGCGAGGTTCGAACCCTAGACACGTGAAGTCTTTTGGAACAACTGTGTTTTTATCTTGTCATATTAATCCAACAACTGTGAATAATTAATCACTATGATCTACAGACTTCAATGGAATTTCTATAATTAAGATCTTGAAAATTCTGTATTGTATTTTGGCATTTCTCGAAACCTTTCTTGTGCCCATCCAAAAACCTGATTTTTTTTTTTATAGCTCAAGGCGAGCAATATTCAAATGGGCCTTCTAATATATGGGCCCTTTCACATCGAAAGGCCCATTAGTCCATTTTAATTACACGTTTAACATATAACGACCAAAGACATGTTGGTCAACGGTCAACGTTTCTTAATGGGCTTGTCTTGATCTCTCTCAACCCTAATTTTTGCTCATGTCAAGGTGAACAATATTCAAATGAGACTTCACATTTCTCGGCCCAATTAACACAGAAAGGCCCATTAGCCCAATACGACACGGACAATGACGCACTAACCAAACATAAGCTGGTCAACGGTCAACCGTCAACGTTGCATAATGATCTTGTGTTGATCTCTCTCGCTCTCTCAGTCATCTAATTTCACATTTTCTGACAGATCAATGGAAGAAACCAAAACCTTTCCGACATACTTCTGCAGAAATTGCCTCATCCCTCTGGCTCTCGGTGAAGATCTTCTCTCCAAAAGCTTCAAGGTTATACAAACTTCAAATCTCTAGACTTGTTACTCTGATTCATTGTGTATACATACATAGACAAAAATACGGTAAAGATCAATATAAAAAAAACGGTAAAGATGATAACTTTGAGCCATATAAAACAAGGGTCAGTGTCGTTTAAACGAATCAGGCGAGTTCAGGACCGGCGTTTATGTTCGCGCACGCGATGAACGTCGTGGTCGGGCCGAAGGTGGAGAGGAAGATGATCACCGGACCGTACGTCGTGGCCGACGTGATGTGCAGCAAGTGCGGCGAAACTATTGGATGGAAATACGTCGAAACCTTCTCTCTCAACCAGAGGTATAAGGAAGGCATGTTTGTTCTTGAGAAGCTCAAGATGACCAAGAAATATTGAACCCTAAAGTCTCGTTTGAAAAAGGGGCCCTTGTTGGAATTCTGCGTTATTGTTGTTGTGTGATTGTTACAAAAACATGGTATTCGCTCATTTTGTCTCTCCATTGTGTAAGAATATCGTTATTAGTATTATGTACAACCATGTTACAAGATGATTTCCGAATGCAATTTCATTTGAAGATTTAGACTGTCCAATATACAGTAAAGCTCTTCTGCTCTTTCATGAGATCTGTCATGGGCAAGAAGAACATGGACATGACCACCGTCTTCTATCCAGCTGCATCCTGGACTTTTCTGCAGCCCTGTCTCCTTCATCCTCCGCCTCGTCTCTGCTAGTTCTTCCCATCTTCCGGCGTGTGCATACAGATTTGCCAACATAATGTGGTTTCCTGTATTGTCTGGTTCTAGCTCTATAAGCTTCTCACCCGCCATTTGTCCTAACTCAACATTTCTATGAACCAAACAACCACCGAGTAGAGCACCCCACATCACAGAATCAGCTTCCATAGGGACACTCTTCATTAGCTCATAAGCTTCATCAAGCTCTCCTGCTCGGCTCAGAAGATCAACCATACATGTGTAGTGTTTCAGTGATGGCTTAACATCGTATAAGCCCATCAAAGAGAAGAACTCCCGGCCTGCTTCGATGGACCCGGCATGAACACAAGCAGAAAGTACAGATAGGAAAGTCACATGGTCTGGTCTAACACCGTTGGCCAACATAAACCGAAAGTGAGCAATTCCTTCCTCTCCAAGCCCATGCATTGCATACCCTGTAAGCAGAGCATTGTGCAAGACCAGATTAGGGTTTAGTATCATCTTATAGACCAAACGGGTATGGTTTAAGCTTCCGCATTTTGCGTACATGTCCACCAGTGCAGCTCCTATGTAAATATCTGACTCATAGCCAAGCCGAATAGAATAAGCATGAACCTGCTTCCCTCTCCTAATGCTAGCCAACTTTGAGCATGCTACAAGAATCATCCCAACTGCATATACATCAGGCCTAAGATTACAACTCTGCATCTCCCGGAACAACCGCATAGCTGTTTCATCGTGTTTGTTCTCCAAATGACCTGCGATGAGTCCATTCCAAGTATACGCATTAGGCTGTAACCCGCTTTCTTTCAATTCCAAGAGAAGGTCTCTTGCATCTTCAATCTGATTGCATCGTGCATATCCTGATATCAGAGCATTCCATATTGCTATATCCCTCTCTGTTACTTCATCGAAAGCCTTGCGTGCGCTATCAAGGCCACCACTTTTGCAGTACATTTCGACCAAAGCTCCACCGACGTAAGTGTTGGATGCCAAACCTCTTGAAATGGCATAGCTATGAATTTCCCTCCCAAGTCTAAGAGAGGCAGTATCCACACATGCCGTGAGAACACTCCCTAGAGTGAAAGAATCTGGTTCAATCATTTCCTCCATTAACATATCCTTGAACATACTCAAAGCTTCTTCGAGGAGAAAATTCTCTATGAGTCCAGCTATCATGGAGTTCCAAGAAATCGTGTCTTTCTCAACTCCAAATAGCTCCATTTCATTGAAGAGGTTCCAGGCTCTGGATATATCACCATTCTCGCAGAATCCAACTATCATGGTATTGCAGGAAACTGAATTCTTCACGGCGAATATGGAAAACAACTTGAAGGCACTCTCCATTTCCCCACATCTCCTATACATATCAATCAAACCGTTCACCACAAAAGGGCTGGACATAAACCCGTGTCCGGTTATAAAACCGTGGAACATTTTGCCCATGTCTAGATTCTGCAATCTTGCACAAGAAGGGAGAACACTGGCTAGAGTTCTTGCATTGGGCTCTAACCCCTTGCCTTGCATCTCAAACAGTAAGTCGATTGCTTCTCTATCATGACCGCTTTGTGCAAAACCTCCTACAACAGCACTCCATGAAACAAGATTCGGTCTCATTGATTCATCCAAGCAAGACATTTGGTCCATGAACTCAAGCGACTCATAGATCATGCCATTCACTGAACAAGCATTGACCACCGAGTTCCATGATACTCTGTCCCTTTCAGGCATCTTCCCAAAATGCCTCTTCGCATCCTCCAAGCTTCCGCATTTACCGTACATATCTATCAAAGCATTGCCCACATAGACGTTGGAAACAAACTCATGCTTTACCACAAACCCATGTAATTGCTTCCCCAGTTTCAAATCCTTAAGACCACTGCATATCTTGAACCCCAGAGGGAACACGAAAAAATCCAGCATAAGATCTTCCTGAAGAATGTGCAGAAACAGCCGAACCGCTTCATCAAACAGCTCTTCATCCACGTACAAGCTAAGCAAAGCAACCCAAGAATACAAATTTCTTGTAGGCATTGTCTCAAACAGTAAATGGGCATCTTCGAAACAACCAAATCGACCATACAACTGAAGCAGCTTCGTCTCCAAAAACTCATTCCTACCAAACCCAGTTTTCAAAATGTGCGCATGAATTTCTTTCCCCGCGTCCGGACATCTACAGGACTCGAGAACAGAGGCATAAGTGCTAGAATTCACCGGTTTACCAAACAAAGAAACTTGGCTTCCTCGAACTGAAATGGAGATGGAACCAGAAGAAGAAACGTAACCAGAATCTCGGTTAAGCGGTGACGGTGATGGGTGAGTGACCCGTTGCCATGGCTGTGCCTGCATTTTTCTTCTTCACAGAGCAACAGAAAACGATCAAGAATTGGACACGAATCCGTTTTATCGGTTAACATTTGTAATATATTTTTGGACTTTCTTTGGGCCTAAGGCCCAAATTTAAATGTTGGATTGCTGATAACCCCAATTAAGAAAAAAAATTAACAAAATATGGAATAACCCAAAAAGCCAGGTGTCAATTTTGATCCAAAGTTCAAAGTCCGATCCCACCCGAACTGAAAATAGTGAGATATTTTATATTTAGGCCCGAAAACTTTTTAGCTTTGACATCGGGTTCGTATAGGGGTGTAAAACGGGTTGGTTCGGCTCAGTCCAGTCCAGATCACCTCGATCTGAAAAAAATTTAATCCAGTCCAACCTAGTCTATTTTTTAGCGAGCAAAAAATAGGTCAGTCTAATCCAGATCGTCTTACTCGCAAGCCAAGCGAGTCAGCCCGCGAGGCAAATATATAAATTTTAAAAATAAAATTTTAATACTAAAAAATATTTTAAAATAATTTTAATATATAAAATATTTTTAAAATATCTAAAGTATAATAAAAAAAATTAAAATTTTAAACAAAATATACTAAATATGTGATAAAAATAAAATTTGTATATATAAAAATATATAAAAATATTAAAATTTTAAAAAACTAAATATTTGTTCTGGCCCGCGAGTCAGCCCAGATCGTGACGGGCTAGCTCGCCACGACCCCGACTCGTGACGGGCTGGCTCCGGGGGTTTTTTTAATAGGCTCAAAATACTTGAGTACGGTTCGAAAAAATATAGGCTGACTCACGAGCCATCCCGCGAGCCGAGCTCATTTTACATCCCTAGATTCGTATAGGATTTTGTATTGGTCCGAGTCCGGATTTTTTTCAAAAAAAAAATACAAAAATAAAAAAATAAATGATGAAAAATAAATTTAGTGGATCAGTCCGATCTAAACCCAACCCAATATCTATAGAGTTGGACTTTGAGTTTGATGATTTAAATCCGAAAAAAATCGAATCGGTCCGAACATAAAACCTTTTGGTCGAATGCAGATTCGGATCGGGTCAGATTGATACCCTACCCAAAACTTTTCTGATTACAAAAACATTACTAATTTTGAACTTCTAATTCTTATGGATTCTAAAAATTAATTCAAATATTTATAACAAATTGTTAACAAAAAAAAAATCAAAATAGGTGCTTCTTATTTTTATACCATTATTATGGATTAAATATGATACTAAATACAATGACGAGATGAATTCGGATTTGATAATACGGAATACCAGACTTTCTAAGTTTAGATTCAAAAGAATTTTGGTATAGAAGGATTATCCGTACGAATTTTTCCATCTTCTCTCTACTTTTATTCGGTTGTAACGTCACATCCTTTCGCTTTCGTTCTTATTACAGCCTCGTCGAATTACGGGACCTTCCACTCTATTTACATTTAAATATCGGTGGAATATCCAAAATTTAAATATCCTTCAACAATAAATTCAAGTTTGAGTTTAAATTCTAAAACCCCAACCCATTTGGAATTTAAATTGGATAAATATAAAAACTTTGAAAATGCAATATGTAGTCAAAAGACCAAAAAACTAACCATGATACTAACATGTAAAACCTGTTTTTATTCTGGATTTAAAATCAAATCGTAGAGAGGTATTTATTCGAATTTTTTCGATCTTTTAAAAGATGTAATTGAATGAAAATCTTGATAAACTTTTATATTATAAAAAATAAATAAAAACTCACAATGATAGTGTGTTGTTTAATTAAGAGTAAATCGTATATAAATACCAAAACTTTTATAAAAATCTCGTATAAATATGTGAATTATAAAATTTTTCATATAAATACCTGAATTTTTCTAAAATCCTATATAAATATCTAGACTTCTAAAAAACTCCCAAATAAATCCAAATCCGTTAATAACATCATCTATTTTTATTTGAAAAATATCTGAAATTTATATTTATTTGGATTTTTTTTAAAAAATCTAAGTATTAATATAGAATTTTTAAAATTTTAGTTACTTATATAGAGGTTTTATAGTTTAGATATTTATATAGAATTTTTATAAAAATTTAGGTTATTTGTTTTTTAATTAATCGCTTCTCTCTATTGTGTTTCTTTTTTCCGGCGTATAAGAAAGACAGTGGTGGGCCCATGTAAGACTGCTGGGGTGAGGCCAGCAAAGGCAGAGATCCAACGGATCAGATGCACGCCCACAGTAAGACTGCGGTGGTCCTTCTTGTAGGCTGTAATTACTCCCTCTCACCCCATCAGGTTTGGTCCGTTGTTCGGTTCGGATTGGGTCCTTTTTTTAAAAAAAAAAACGAAATAAAATAAAAACATATCTACTGTCCTTCACCGTCCAGCCTAGGGGTGGCCATTTCGGTTATTAACCGAATAACCGAACGGTTGAGGAAGTTGAATAACCGTTCGGGTTCGGTTCGGTTCGGTTAATAACCGAATAACCGCGGTTAACCGAACGGTTATTGAATTTTTTTAATATTTTAATTTTTATCCTCATTATTATTAGTATTATTTTTTTATACTCCACTTTTAACCTTATATATTTCACCCAATAAACCATAAAATGTAATGTTTTTTTAATTTTTATCCTAATTATTGAAGTTTTTAGATTTTTTTATAATTTTATTTTAAATGATTAATCATTTTGTGCATTTACTTAGATAGATATTTTGAAATTTATGTAGGATTAATATATTTTTTTTAAAAATATATCATAACCGAACCGAACCGATCTAAAACCGAACCGAATAAACCGGAAAATATAACCGTTTGGTTATAATTTTATTATGCAAAAACCGGACCGAACCGAACCGAAACCGAACTAAACCGAACCGATTAAATCTATATAACCGTTTGGGTATGATTTTTTTATAACCGAAATAACCGAACCCGAAATAACCGAACCGAAAACCGAACCGAAACCCGAAATGGCCACCCCTAGTCCAGCCCACACACTCTCCGACCATCTCCCCCTTCATTATGTCTTAAAAAAAATAATCAAAATTTCCCTTGGTTATCATGGTACATATATAGATTTATTGGTTAGGAGTGGATGTTTTCGTTTCTATCCGGGTTTTACCGAGTTCAATTTGTCCGGTTCTTATGTTGAATTTAGTTTGATTCGTTTTTATCTCACATTCGGTTCAATTCCGTTCTTGATTGACAAAAATACTCAATTTTTCATAGAAATTTTTTTATCTTTCCTTATTTTTTATTCGATTAATGTGGTTTGGATTCAGTTTTTCAATTTAAAAAATATAACAGTTTGGCTTTTATATTAGAGTTAGTTTAATTATAATTATATGTTATTTGGTTCGGTTATTGGGTTAGTAACCAAATATAGCATTCATAAACAAAACCAAATAGGAACCGAATAGGATTTGGCTTTTTAGATTTGAATTGCTATTATTATGAGTTGGGAAAGTTCTTGTGTCGTGTGATATGGGGGGATTATTGGGTAAGATCCCAAAAATAAAGGACGAAAAATAGTACAAGACCAGTACTGGTTTTTCCAACTATTGTCCGAACATATCATCACCAAACATCCGTGGTCCTTACGCCATTATTTTGCGTCTTTATTATGAAAATTTCATGCATGGACCAAAACCCTAGCTGTATTCTCCTCGACCGTGAACCCTATATATGCCACTTGTTATTACATTTCACTCGTAACAAATTAAGTGCATTTTATGCCCGTTTAGTATTATCGCAGTTTCCTATGACAAATGAACCGTATGCATAATTATGTCCAAATATGTCACCATATATATCGTTATATGTGATACTTGTTATTGGTGTATACATACCTATATATATATATATATATATATATATATATATATAATCATTGTTTCCTCATATCAAAGTATATATTAGTTGTAATGTCTGAATTGTCGGAAAAGAATGAAAGCGGCTGCAAGTGTACTTCGGGATAATTTGTCCCATTATTGAAGATACGGATCTCGACGGAATTCAAATACAATTTGATCACCGAAGATTTTGAATATATATATACACACACACACACAAAACGTGTCTGCTCTATATATATATATATATATGACTCGGAGTTTTCTGTGTGGACAGATTTAGAACACGTACGCGGCGAGTTTTACCGTAGATTTATTCGGCAGAAACACTGTTTGCGAATATGTGTGTGTGGAAGGAACTGTCGAGTGGTCCATTTCTGAAATATATATTTGGTGGATAAAGTTAAGATAAATGCGCATTTCCCTTTTTCTTCTCGTTAGATTTGTTGTTTTCACGATTAAAAACCTTTGTCTCCTATTATTTGGACCGTTTCCCCCCATGTGGGTAATCACACCGCAAGAGTAATTGGCCTTAACCGCGAACCTTTATATACGTTTCATCTACATAAAATTCATTTGTACTAGATTTTAGTTATATATATATATATATATATATACAGGAAAAATGATTAAAAAAACTCCTATGTTGATGTGAACTTACCGTTTAATGAACCCAAGTGTAGATGGTAAAATAATAAGGTAGAAATGTACAAAATGTTCTCACCCGAGTTCAAATTCATTGTGGGCCAAATTTTTACCATCATATCATTATTAATACACCGGATCTCATAAGAATTCTATTGAAAGTGACTTGAAGAATGCTTATGTGGCATGAGTTATGCTGACATGGATAAAGAATCAACATCGTCTTCGATAGAACATCAACTCGAGACTCGTCGCTTCTGGTGGTGTTCGATTCGGTCACAACCGAAGTCGAACCTGTAACTGCGATTATCTCCGTCGGCGTTGTTAGCGGGACTGCGTCTGAGATTAAAATCTGAGAGAAAGAGAAGAAGGGAGACAGAGACTCCAAAAGGGAAAGAAAGAACATTCGTGAGGCTAGGGTTAGATTGCGATCTTCGAACAAAGACACGAACTGAGGTTTTCTCTAAGTGTTGTGGGCTGGGTTGTGTTTTGGTGGTGGGCCACAGACAAAAGGAACTTGGGTCTGATCCA